AGAGAGAGAGGGAGACACAGAATCGGAAACAGGCTCCAGGCTCCGAGCCATCGGCCCAGAGCCCCACGCGGGGCTCGAACTCACGGACCGCGAGCTCGTGACCTGGCTGAAGTCGGACGCTTAACCGACTGCGCCACCCAGGCGCCCCGGGAATCTGATTCTTGATTTCAGCTCAGGTCATGATCTCACCTTGTGGGTTCAAGCCTCATGTCAGGCTCTGTGCTGACAGTGTGGAGCCTGCTTGGGATTCTCTCCTTCTCCCTCTCTCTCTGCCCCTCCTGTGTTCTCTCTCTCTCTCTCTCTCTCTCTCAAAATAAATAAAAATATACATGTAATTCAAATTTGAGAACTTTCATACTTTAAAGGATAAAAAAAATACAGGGCTCTAATAAAAGTAAGTAATTTTAATATTTCTTTGGGGAGTTTCTTACTTAATGCTACAATTTAAAATTCTGGTAGAATATTGGTAAAATGTAGGTCTTTTAAAAAACTTTACTTTTTAAAAAAGTATTTTTTTATGTGCTTCATTTGTGTGGTGATTGTATTGCTATCACAGAATACAAAACTCAAAAGTAAATAAGGCATATCCAAACCTATGCACAATTTGGATTTCTGCATTTAAGCTAATGTACCTAAACTTTTTGAGAAATGTACTGAAAAACATAAATATAATGTGAATATGCAATTTCACTTAAAATGTGCTACAAACAAAATATTTGGTGTCTTAAAAATTAGTTATAATATTATAAAATCATAATGACCAACAGAATTTTTCCATTAAAATGTATTATGTATGGATTTTAAGTGTTATAATTCACTGATAGTTTAACATGAATTGTATTTTATTTTGACATTAACTTGATTATATTTCCTGACATTCTTAATTATGGATGTATAAGCTAACATTTAAATTAATAATATGTATTTCTCTAAAGACTTAGAAGAAAAACATTGAGGTTTGGCATCAAACTGCCTGTAAGTTAAAAGGAATGTTGCTAATAAAGTAATGTGCACTGGTTAACTGCCTATAAAAATAAAAACTTAAAGGAGAATTTTAGACAAACTTTCAAAATATTGAATTTATTTACATTCTATCTCAATTATTTAGGTAGAGTATTATGAATCACTAGTCAGATAAAATTCGATCTAAATTTAGATGTCTGATGGTCTATTAAGACTCCTCTCTCCTTTCTAATATCTAGTACTTTCTTTATACACAAACTAGGAAATAATATAAAGAAAAGCATTGCAAACATACTTCCAACATATTTTGACCAAAATTAAAAATAAAATCAGGTTATCACATAATTCCCATGTTTGCTCTACTTAGGTATTCTTGCTTATTTGTAAAACACATGGTCTCTTCCATTAAGTCCCAAATAAAATGTTTTAAACCAATGTATCTGGACTTTCACTTCCAAAAAGATAGCATGCACTTTTCCTCTATTCTTCCCACTAAGTAGAGTTAAAAACCCTGGATACCATATACAAAACAAGTAATCTGAAAGGCAGAGAAAAGACAGACTAACTAGGAACTTCAAGACCTAAGGAATGACACAGCAGTGAGTTCCCTGGGTTTTCTTTTTGCCACACACACCTCAGACTAGAGACTGGAGAAGCTGGCAACTGAGAAACACCAATGGATGCAGACAAAAAATTTTCCGAGAAAAGACTGCTCTCTATAGCCAAAGGACAAGTAAAACGGTAGCCTAGCAAGACAGAAAGCTTTTAGGCAATAACCATCCCATTCCAGGCAAACACCATAGAAAACTTTATAGCCCTATGGCCAGTAGCAAAGGCTGAGTGGAGAACCCAGACTTTTACCCTCATCAGGCAGGCTTCAGTAAGGTGCTCCAACATCTCTGCCTTTATCTCATAGAAGTGTTGCTACCAGGTATGAATTAATACCTTCTCTTCCGGTAGAGAAGGCTGAGGAGCAGCTGGGACTTTCATCTTCACCATGTGGTAACAAGGCAACATTCATTTAAATCTATAAATCAGTTAAATCTCTAATTCAGTCTCAATCTATAACAGAAGATATAAATAAGATCTAGAGTCTTACAACATAATACCAAAAATATCCATGTTTTAATCAAAAGACACTGGTCACAACAAGAACCAAGAAAATCTCCATTTGAATGAGCAAAGGCAGCAAAAGAAGCCAGCACGAAGATGACACAGATGTTAGAATCATCTGACATGGATTTAAAAGCAGCTATCATAAAAATGCTTCAACAAGCCATCATGCACATGCTTGACACAAATGAATAATAGAAAGTCTCAGCAAAGAACAAGAAAATCTCAGCAAAGAAACAGAATATATAAAGAAGAACCAAACTGAAAGTTTTGAACTGAAAAACACAAAGACTAAAATGAAAAAAACCTTCATGGATAGGCTCACAACAGAATGGAGGGGACAGAGGAAAGAATCAGTGAACTGGAAGACAGAACAATGGGAAATACCTAATGTGAAAAACAGAAAATGGACTGGAAAAAAAAAAATGAACAGAGCCTCAGAGACTTGTGAGACTGTAACGAAAAGGCCTAACATTCATGTCATCTAAGTCTTGGAACATTCAAGTCATCCAAGAAGAAAGAGGTTGAGTCTGAAAAAGTAATCAAAGACATATTAATAATAACTGGAAAAAACTCCAAGTTTGGCAAAAGACATGAACTTATAGATTCAAAAAGCTAAGTGAACTTCAAACAAAATAAACCAAAAGAAATCCATGCTAAGACATATGGTCAAACTTCGGAAAACTAAAGACAAAGAAAAAAAAAAAAAAGAAATAACACCTTATCTATAGTGGAAAAACAATCTGAATGACAACTGGAATTCTTATGAGAAACCATGGAGATCAGCAATATTTGTCAAGAGTTAAAGAAAAAAACCCAAAACTGTCAACCTGGAATTCTCTATCAAGGGAAAATATCCCTCAGGAATGAAAGAATGATCAATACCTCTCAGATGAAGGACAACTGAAAGAAGTTGCTGTCCAAAGACCTACCCTAAAAGAATGGCTAAATGAGGTTTGTTCAATAGAAAGAAACTGATAAAAGAAGGAATCTTGGAGCACTGAGAAGGGAGAAAGAACAAAAGGAAGAGCAAAAGCATGAGTAAAAGCCTGAGTAAATGCAACAGTTTCTTTCTCTTGAGTTTTCCAAATTACATTTGACAGCTGAAGCAAAATTTGCAATACTCTGATATGGTTCTCAGTGTATGTAGAGGAAATATTTAACGCAATTAGGCAATTATACTGCAAATGGGAGAGGTAAAGGACATAAAGGGAGGTAAGGTTTTGTTTAAAAAAAATTTTTTTAACATTTATTTACTTTTGAGAGACAGAGCACAAATGGGGGAGGGGCAAAGAGAGAATGAGACACAGAATCCGAAGCAGGCTCCAGGCTCTGAGTTGTCAGCACAGAGCCCAACGTGAGCTCGAACCCACAAACCGTGAGATCAGACTTGAGCTGAAGTCGCATGCTTAACTGAGCCACCCAGGTGCCCCAGGGAGGTAAGGTTTTGACATTTCATTCAAACTGGTAAAATGTTGATACCAATAGACCGTGATAAGATATATATGCATAATGTAATACGTAGGTTATACAAAGAAATACACTCAAAAACACCTTAAGTCAGATGGAATTCTAAAAAAAAATCTGTATCTCTCAATATAAGATGGGTGTTTCTGACCATGTAATATACAACTTATGTTTTAAAAAAACAAAGGCTTTTTTTTTTAATTTTAGGGAGAGAGAGAGAGAGAGAGAGAGAGAGAAAGAGCATATGAATGGGGGAGAGGAGCAGAAGGGGAGAGGAGTAGTGTTGGAGAGGAAAAGTGGTGGGGGGATAGAGAAAGGAAGAGAGAATCTTGAGCAGGTGGCATGCTCAGGACAGAGCCCGCTGCAGGGCTCTATCCTACAACCCGGGGATCATGACCTGAATCAAACTCAAGAGTTGTAAGCTCAACTGACTGAGCCACCGAGGTGCCCCTAAAAAATGAAGGCTTTAAAGCCCAAAAATACTGTTAATTTTTAAATGTGTGGTTTGGTATAAGAATACATACCTGGTAAGGTAGTAGTAAAATGTTCCTTATAATTGGGGGAAACTCAGTAAACTTTTTAACTTTCATACAAAGACAAAGAAGTTAAAATTCAATGGAATACCTCTGGTCCTTGTGCTTTAAGGACTCACATGTTTTTACTTTGCCCATGGCCTGTAACCTCGATAGGGAAACTGGTGATCACACTCAAAATTTAACTAAGAATCATGGATGCCCATTTTTTTAAAGGTTCAAATATAACTAGGATTTTTATTACCACAAGAATGAAAAACGGAATGGTTTCATTGATAAGGAACTCATGTATATAAAGCTTAATATAGACCCAAGCAAGGAATCATGTATAGGTGGACCAGACTCTGGATGAATGTCCTTAATTTTGGAGAACAATTTCTTTCTATTTTCCATCCATGTCATTAAGTGGGCTCACAAATAGACTTCCCTTATTCTACAGAAGTGCTGCAAGTAAGAATTAATATCTGAAATATTTCATCACATAAGAACTGCCAGCTAACACACCAACACCTTCAAATTAAAATGAACTTAAATCACAAAGATGAAGTACTTCCAACTCAAATCAAGGTTCTAATAACCGTGCCTCATTAGTGGGGTACACTCAAAGAATGGTCACAAAGAGAAACATCCTATCTTGTTATTCATCCAGCAGTTTTCCTATAATTTGTTAATTCACATTTAAATTTTTGCTGACAGGTAAAATGAACAATTATGTTCCCATGAATTAAGTGTTCCAGTTAAAGAAATATAACTTTAGGGTTAGGGGTGGAGGAAACAGAGAGAGAGTCTGGTAAAAGGGTACAAACTTGCAGTTATAAAATGAGTAAGGGGGCGCCTGGGTGGCGCAGTCGGTTAAGCGTCCGACTTCAGCCAGGTCACAATCTCGCGGTCCGGGAGTTCGAGCCCCGCGTCAGGCTCTGGGCTGATGGCTCAGAGCCTGGAGCCTGTTTCCGATTCTGTGTCTCCCTCTCTCTCTGCCCCTCCCCGTTCATGCTCTGTCTCTCTCTGTCCCAAAAAAATAAATAAACGTTGAAAAAAAAATTAAAAAAAAAATGAGTAAGGCCTGAGGATCTAATGTATAACATATATACACTTGATCTTAGCCAAAAGGCCAAGAAGCGATAATGTATAACATATATAACATGGGGACTATGGTTGATACATACACAAAAAGGTAATTATGTGAGGTGATGCACTAATTAACTCAATAGTGGGAATCCTTTCACAGTATAGACATATATCAAATCATCACATGGTATACTTTAAATATATTAGTTTTCTCGGTTACACCTCAATAAGGCTGGGGGAGAAAAAAGAACTGTAACTTTGGGTTTTGCACTTCTTGGTATTTATGTTCTTGGTTAGTGTCTTCCCATAATGAATATGGGCTTGCCCAATGTGACTATCTTGGCCTATAGAGACATTAGTGAGTCTGACACAGCTTAAGCTTGATAAGAACTTACATACTGGGGTCCTGTAAAACTCCCTTTAAGAAGCAAGCTGCCGTGGTAGAAAGACATTTGGGCTAGACTACTGAAAGATAAGAAATCATGTATTGAAAGACCTTGGAAGATAAGAAGCCATGTTGGATGTTCTCATCCCACTTGAGCTTCCAGCTGAATACAGCTGAATGACTGACCTCAACTCCACCTTATGGGGCAGAACTGTCCTGCTGAGCCCAGTCAACCCATAGAATCATGAGAAATAATAAATTTGGGGGGTGTTACTTTATTCTGCAACACATAACCAAAAAAGTGTCATATATTTATGTACACACACACATTTTTAAGTAATCCCTACACCCAACATGGGGCTTGAACTCACAACCCTGACATCAAGAGTCACATATTCTTGGGGCACCTGGGTGGCTCAGTCAGTTGAGTGTCTGACTTGGCTCAGGTCATGATCTCGCAGTCTGTGAGTTTGAGCCCCACATTGGGCTCTGTGCTGACAGCTCAGAGCCTGGAGCCTGCTTCAGATTCTGTCTCCCTCTCTCTCTGCCCCTCCCCTGCTCATGCTCTTTCTCTGTTAAAATAAATAAATGTTAAAAAAAATTTTTTTTTTCGAAGAGTCACATATTCTACCAACTGAGCCAGCCAGGCACCCCAAATTATATTTTTTAAAAGGGATACAAATTTAATTCAGGTAAAAGGTTAAAAATCAGAAAGTTATCCCAGGAGTAATGTTAAATTTTAATTGGAACCAAAACAAACTGATGACTTTGAAATATATCTCTTCTAGTTCTGTTCAATAAAATGATGTAAATAACAATATCACCCCATCATGTAAGTCCGATATGTATCCCAGGTACTTTAGTCTCTAATACTATGTCCTATGTCTCCTCAGAAGGATGGTCGATCCCACTGAAAGAAGGGAAGATAAAAAGTGGTCTTGGGACAACCAGCTAATAAGAGAAAACAAGAAGTCTTTAAAAACACATGAGATCCTACCAAAACAGCACAAAAAACAGCTCAAAAGAACAGAAAGACAGGAATTTTTTCTGATAAAACATCGAAGGACAGCCTAATGCAACTACTGTTACGCCTCCCCTCTGGACATTCCATATTAGATAACATGCTCCTCATAAACATTAATGAGGTGTGTCACAATATTGCATGTACAGGTTTGAGAGACCCTCCCAGAGCCATAGTCTTGGGCCTTGAAACAGTGTAAAGTGAACTTGCATCACCAGAACCAAGTGAATTTGATCTTTTGATTGTACTTGAAATAAATAAAAGGAATCTGCTTTTCTTTTGAATTTATTTGCCAATACATTTCAACAATTATTATTGCTGTTTGCTGCTTTACTACTTCCTTTGCCTTCTGTGGTCTATTAGGACAAAGGCCTTCCTAGGGACAAAGATAGATGCCAAAAAAACTTATATATTTAGCCTTCTTTAAACACCAATCTGGAGAAGCAAGTTAAGAGGTTTTCTGATCCTAGCTTGAAACAATCCTGTATCATTAACTCTACTTTTGCTGATCGATCCAAAGAGATAACCAGGGGGAAAAAAAACAATTTAATTATAAGATATAAAAAAGAGCCTGCATGGCTCATTGGTTAGGAGTCTGACTCTTGATTTTGGCTCAGGTCATGTGATCAAGGCTCGCGTGGGGCTCCCTGCTGATAGCTGGGAGACTGCTTGGGATTCTTTCTTCTTTTCTCTCTCCCCCTCCCCTGCTCACATGTGTAAGCACACATGACCACTCTCTCTCTCAAAATAAATAAACTTAAAAAAAAAAAAAAAAAAGAAAAAGAGCCCAAAAGCTAGTATTTCACATTCTTGTGTTTGTAGCTTCAGGCTTATGAATATTTGGTGACTTAAAATTATAAAAGGCAAATCGTATAATTTATTTTAATAATATTTAAATATATAACTACAGATACTTTCGAAGTTATAATTTTCTTTTAAAGCAACCAGAACTCTCATTAAGAAGTAAAGCAAGTTATACACCACCAACACATTAAAGGGGTATGATTTTTAAATTTGGTAATATTTAAAACTAAAACTATGGAAAAATCAGATACAAGAAAATTAATTGAGTGTATATAAATTTAAGTATATGGTACAAAGGTGATGCATGCACCATCAGGAGGTGTATGCATGTGGAAGAATCCAAGCCTCACTCATGTCAAACTGAACTTGGATTAAATTGGTACTAGCTAAACTTGGGTTGGGCACATTAGAAAGGTATGGACAGTTAAAAGAAGTACTGAGGTTTTCAAAAAAATGTAATTACTTAATAAAATAGCTATGATACTTGTGTAAGATGACCTCAAAACTGTCTTGGTATTCTTGAAAAAAAAGGCAAAACTGTACTTTTCATTATAAAAACCTATGTGCCTTTTCTTTGGCCTGACAGCATTTTTTATATGACTCTCACCCACAAATGTTAGAAGAGTGGCCATATAAAATAAAAATACAAATTGGATTTAAACCAAACACAAGGATAAGCCTGGTTTCTTTTGGTGTACTTACTCCAAAAAATAAATAAACAGAATTAAAATCACCAAGAGAAAGAGAATGAGAGAGACAGAGAAAGTAGCCATGTAAACGTTGCTCTACATATCCCTTAATCCAATCCTGTGGAAAAGAAGTCAATTACATTTTCCAAGCTATCCTCTGTGATCTGTATATATTTTCCTTATATCTTGTGTCATCTGTATCTTCAACACAATACCACTCCTTTTTCTTTTCATTTCCTGCGAGCTTTACGAAAGCTTAGGGAAGAGGGCACACATACAAAAAAGAACAAGCCATGAAATGATGCAGTTAAGCAGGAGACTGCACTGAGTTAAGGATCCAGCAATCGCAGAGTGTGGTGTGTGACAATATTAACGTCTCTTCAATTAAAGTCTCCATACATGTCAGTCAGTTGCGACTTACTGATCTATAGCTACCAAAATGCAATAACTGATGTTAGTTATAATGACTATCAGACATCACGAAAGGATATCATCATCTTCAGTATATTGTTCCTTTATGGCAAAGAAGAAAATTTTTACAAAAGATCTTTGTTTAAAATAGCTAACAATCATAAATGCTAGTACTTAAAGGGATGACTTTGGTATACGGCACTTTATCCAGAACTTTTCTCACCAGTATTCACGATTTAGGTTGTGTTGTATTTTCACTTCTTAAATCTAATTTTTTACTAAGACATTTTAACAATTCTGAAATAGAGTTCTTCATAACTGGCATGCTCCTTAGTACTTTTTTCACACCTACCTGTTAAACTTTATTTACTTGGGTAGGTCAACCCCAACATTAATAAAAGTTACAACGAACTACAGTTAAACTAGATGGATGAGCCTCACAGTTACATCTGGAATATCAGACATGCACTTAAATATTTCAAGGTGTCCTCGTCAACATAGTAGTCTTAGCACGTCTGATCTTGATCTTACTAGTTTTCAGCTATTGGGGACGGGCAGGAACAAGTCGTAAGTTAGAATTCTGCTCAACGGAGGTTTTGAATCCTGTGCACTGGAGGATCCACTGTTGGGGGGCATAGGGGGACACAGAGTGTCCTAGACAATCCACCTGCTCTCCGTGTTTTACCACAGGGGTCAAACTTTTTCTGTAAAGGGCCCGAAGTAAACATTTTAGCCTTTGCACGCCATCCCGTCTCTGTGGCAACTACTTAACTCTGCTGTTAAACAATGCGGTAAAGCAGCCATGGACAATTAATAAAGGAATGCGCATGGCTGTGTTCCAATAAAACTTTATCAACAATGCCACTGGAGTTTCATAGTTTTCCACAAGTCAGGAGCGAGTATATCTCATATTCACCTTTAAAAACGTAAAAGCCATTCTTGGCCAGCCAACCTTACAAAAACAGGCCCCCTTGGCCCCACGGGCAGCAGTTTGCAGACCCCTGCTTTCTCTCACACGCAGCGACTCTGGCCAAGGGGAACGAGGTTAATGTCAAGGAACGTATCCGCCAAGGGTGAGGAGGTCACACCCGCCAGCCCAGTGTGCCCAGGCCGGCGCATCCCGGGTGACGCCTGGGACCCGCTGCATCGCTACCGGCGGCGCGCAGGTCGCGGCGGAGGAAGGCGCGAGTAGGAGAGGGATACACCTCCACAACGGAGGCCAGGACCCCGGGCAGTGAGGTGTGGGAAGAGTGCAGGACCGGGTCTCCGGCGGACCCCGGAGCAGGGAGCTTCCCCCAGGACTGTCCCCTGGGTGGCTGCCGCCGCAGGTCGGTCACTCACTCGGAAAGGCAGGCACGGATGAAAGCCATAGCAACAGCACAACTAGGACTAAGGACTTCATGGGCACCGTCCGCAGCACTCCGCCATGCGACGGGAACGTCCTCGGCCACCAGGCCGGGTACCTCAGGGCCGAAAAGAGAGGCTGTCAGCCGCGACAGTCCCTCCTCAGGGCCGTGGGCGCCCTGCAACGGTTGTCCCCAGCGCGCAGGCGCAGCGAGGGCTTGGGGGAGGGGAACGCGAGTGGCCGAGGCCCGCCCCTTCCTGGACCAGCGCGCAGGAGACTGGGCCACAACGTTCTGCCCCGCCCCGGTGCGCATGCTCGCTTTGGCTTCCAAGCTCCGTGGCGGGCGCCGGCTCCGAATGTCTTGACGCCCGGGCGACTTCTGGAGCTACGAGGCCTGGGA